TGTTCAGTGCTAGAATTCAACTGTTTGTCTGTTTTTCCATCTGTATCTCTCCTTCTAAATATAAAGTACATATAGTTAAGAAAAACACTGTCAACAGCACAAACCTGAATAGGCAAAAACAAAATAAATTTATCTCAATTAGATCTTTGTGCTACATCTAACTGCAGAATTATTGTTTCCTTTGTTGCCCCCAGTTTTTATTTTTATTAGTATGCATTTAGAGCATATAATAATTGTATTCCTTATGGAGAATTGGTCCATGTACATAACACATTTTAATTCTTTTCAAATCCCCTTTCCTTCTTCTCCCTCCTTGCTTTCTCTAGGTTTTGATTCCTTTTCTATTAGAAAAGGATCTCTCTCTCTCTCTCTCTCTCTCTCTCTCTCTCTCTCTCTTTCTCTCTCCCACTCTTTCTCTGTATCTCTCTCTGTCTCTCTGTCTCTGTCTCTCTCTCTGTATCTCTTAGTCTCTCTCACCCCTATTTCCTATTATCTGTCATTTATTTTGCTCTTCTTTACTTTTGGGTTTCTGTATTGGATAAATCATGTGATAGTGAAGCTTATATGTCTGATTTATTTTACTTAACATTGGGGGTCTCAAGATACATCTATTTTCCTATAAATTGCTCATTTACTTTTCTTTAAGGTAGAAGAGTACTTTACCATGTATACATTTTTTAACCACTCATCTATTGATGGACGTATAGGCCTTTACCTAGATTCAGCTATTATGAATTGTCTGCTACTAGTATAGGTTTGCATACATCACTGTAACTTGTTTTTAACTGGGAATGTTGGTCTTGTCCTCATGGACAGTGATACAGCCATTAACCCCTTTATGTGGAACATGGCTCTCTAGTTTGTTAAAATACCCAACACTTTCTCTGCTCTATCATTGACTCGAGTGGCAGTTGTCATTTGTCACTGTCTGTGCTCCTGCTTTCCTTACTCATGTGTATTACCTGTCTGATCCTTGCAGCTATTTAAGGTGTGTTAGATGGCAGAGGTGAGAGGGTAAAACTGCCCCCTTCTTCTCCAGAAAAACAAAAAGGGCAGGGGGAAATTTTTCAGTGACTTTTCAGTCAGGGAAGCTCCCTAACAATGACTCTTTAAGTTTAAAATTGGTAGCTTAATGCTTTTATTAAAATGTATTCGTATGTCAGCTTATAAATAGTTCAAGGTTATTGGATGTGTGTGTTCAGGTGAAGAAAACCGCTTACCACCTTGTGACTCGGATGCGAAGAGTGGCAGGTTCCCAACTCATGAACATCCACGTGTCTACATTTTGTGTTTAATTCAGATTACTTTTTAATATTGCAAGTCCTAGTTTTCTAAGTATCATTCTTCGTTTTTAAAAATTTTACTTTTTGTGGTGCTGGTGACTGAACTAGGACCTTTATGAATGTCAGGTACTAACCTTACATCCATAGTCCTCTAACTATTATATCAAAGAACTTTACAATGATTGTCTTTTATGGGCTGGCAAGATAGCTTAGTGGTCTAATGCACCTGCTTAGGCAAGTGGTTCAATTTCCAGCACCACGTGCCACACCAGCCCCACCCTCAGGGCAGGCTGAGCTGGAAAAAAAAGATTTGTCTTTTACAATTTGGAACTATTGAAATGAACCAACACACATGTTTGCACGCATACACACACACACACACACACACACACACACACACATTCCTATGTCTTTTGTTCTTTCACAAAGGTCAAATTTTATTATTAATCAGTCTCCATGAACAAATTTTACAGGTTCTATCCTACTGCAATATAAAAATCCACAATCCTGTCCTTCCCTGATTTTTTCATAAGGCAGTTTTTCTTCTCAAACCCCCACCTGTCTTCAAACTAAAAGTCCTAGTGACTTTAGGATAAATTACTGCTTTTATACTCCAGGTCTAGTAGTTTCTAGACCTGACACAAAGACATCTCAAGGACAAATGAACTTTCTCTGTTTTACAGATTTCCTTTTGAAATGATTGAGGAGGCAAACAAAAACTTAGAGAATTCTTTTTTCTGTCCTTCCTCAAGTCTTTTTAGCATCTTCTTATCTACTTTTGGAACTGATCATTTAAGTTGAGAAATGATTCTCTTTATATATTGCTTTATATTATATCATCAGCTAGGCAAACTTCTATTAAAAACAAGGCCTCCAAACATATCTTGAGTACTATATGTGGTTTTCTTCTTGTTCAGTTAAGATGTGGGTGAGTGGATTTGTGAGAAGGCTCCTCCAAGCTGACCAAAATGAGCAGCCAACCAAAAGGGGGAAATGGATGGAGGCACATGCATGGGATGCTTAGATGCCTCAGTCCTGGAGGTGGTGTGAGTCTCTTCCTCTCATATTCATACTGAGTCAAAACTCAGCCATATCCTCAACCTTAGCTATGAGAGTCTAAGAAATATAGTCAAGTTGTGTGACTGAAATAAGAAGAGAACATAATTTTTGATGAACATTTAGCATCCCCACTGCGGAGAGGTTGTCTGAAAGAGACTTTTAGGATGACCCATGCTAGCCAGATTTTGGTTGCCAAGAGAAAATACATGAGAGAAAAAGCTTAAAGGAAGGAAGGTTTGTTTTGGTTTTGGGCTTTCATTTTATGACCAGGTGACTCCATTGCTGCTGAGTAAAGGGCGGTGCAGATCCAGGTCATGCCATGGCCTGTTCTTTTTAACAAGGCCACACCTTCCAGGTTTTCATCACCTCCAATGAAGTCATCAAATTATTACTCCACCAATGGATTAATCCACCGATGAAGCCCCCATAAGATCTAATAACTTTCCAAAGTTCCACCTGTAGTATTGTTGCATGGTGAGCCAAATCTCCAACCTGTGCGCCTTGGGAGGGACATTTTAGATCCACATCATATCATAGACTGTAGGAATCACTCCCAGAACAAGCAGGAGTGATCTTTCCAGGTGAAAGTTAGACAAGCCAGCTGTATTTTTCAAGGCCCAGCTTACCAATGCTCCAGGGAGAATAAGGAAAGGAGTCCTTAGCCATACTTAAGTAACATGATAAGGTAGGAGAGGACCACAGCTCTCCAGTGGGTAAAATAGGGAAATGTGACTTACGGTGCTTGGGTCCAGATTCCTAGTCTAGTTAGACTTCTCATTTTCCTTTGTTTGTACTTTAAGGAGGTCCAGTATTTTATTTTTATTGCATATAAAAACAGTTGCCTACAGAGTTCCTCATTCAGTTCATACTATAAATGGGAATTCCACCCTATACCAGCCACTGTGAGAACACAGACTTTTCTTATTTGTGCAGTTAATCACTTGGGAGTAAGCCACATCTTCTCTAGGCCTAGTTTTCCTATGGCTGTCCTAAGGCATTAGTCTTGGGCACAAGTGGGACAGCACAGCTCGCAGCTCTGCACCCAGTGGGCTCTGTGCTTGGCATTGTCAGTAAGAAGCAGCCATCAGCATACGCCGAGGGGCTGCCCATCATCTTGGTCAAAAGCTCTTTCCTTATCCAGTGTTTCTTCGTTTCATTGTTTCTCCTGTGGTCTGTGCTCAGCTAAGGATATTTAGAAATCTCATCCAAATGGATGAGATTTCTGGCAATTCTCCTCTCTTTGTTCTTTTGACTGATGACTTCATAGAGCCCAGACTGTGGAGTAGCTTCCAGACTGCATGATTTCATTAGTCTCCTTGTCTATTCCGAGCAAGATAAGTAATGCCAGACAAATGGGGTGGCTGCTTCCACTGCCACAATCTTACGTGGCTTGAGCTTGTGTCCTTTGCTTCATTGTTAGCTCTTCCTTTCCCAGCTTAAGCTTCTGACTTTGCTCAAATGCCATGTTCTACCTAAGTAATTATTGAACATGACATTGGCATTTCTGTTTAATTTCTAATTTCTTGTTTTGATCCCCCCAGATCCCACTGGTTTTTAACCAAGCCCTTTGTATTTCCTTTAATGCCTAAACCTTAAGTGCTTGAAGACTCAGCTCTTAGTATTAGGCCTAAAGTATGAGATGGAAGCAGAGCAATACATAAGGAGTAGAAATTGATCAAAGGCAGGTAGAGAGGAACAGTCATTAAGAGGAAGGCCTAGTAGGGTAATTTCAATGTTCTGTGCTTGACATGAATAAGAGGAGAAAATGAGGTGGTTGTTTGTATTAAGGGAAACATGAAGACTTTCTTATTGAAACAGAAGACTGTTTTGTTTTCAACAGAGTCTCACTATGTAGTGCAAGCTGGCCTTAAAGTCACTTTCATAGTCTAGCTGGTGTCAAACTCATGACTATCCTCCTGCCTCAGCCTCCCAAGTGGTGGGAGTACAGGCATGTGTCACCACACGTAGCAACAGAAGACATTGTTAGGTCAACCTTTTAGAGCTAAAAGGCAACACCAGGAATACAAATTGCCATCAGCAGCCCATTCTTTAACCTGCATGGAAACAGGTTCATCCCCTGTTGAGTTAGAGATGTATGGGTGTGTGTACATCTATATCTTGAGACATTACTGCTTTAGAAATTACAAAGGGCTTATGATCCATAAATGAGAAAGAACTACTGGATTAGAGGGACTAGGTTTCCTGTAGGTAGTCGAAGCCATGAGGGAGAGAAGGTGCCTGGAGAAAGACCCCTGGTGGGTGAACAGCTTAATGTAAAACTGGTGTGAAATGAGGTGTTGTAGGGGATTAATGTTCTGCAACTCTATCCTGAAGTCTGGGGTCAGACTTGAAATGTTCACATAGGAAATTAGACCCCATACTGCAGAGTCTGAGAGAGGATTTATCTCCATGTCAATAGCACAGAGTGGAAAAAATGAGATCATAGGTTCACAGACTTTTATATTTTTCAAAGTAATGTTCTTGAAGAATTCAGGCTTGTTCTGACTTTGTGCTGCACGTCGTTCTCTAACCTTTTGTTCTCCCTAGGAATACCTGTAGTCATCACCCAGCAAAGCCTAGGCTAGTATCTAAAGGTACAATAGACAGTGGTATTGCTATTTTTATGAAGATACTAACACCTATCTGTGCTTCTGATAGCAAAACTGCTGAGTTCTTGACGGTGTCACACAGACGTGCCTGTCAGTCTTCTTCTCGTGGTCCGCAGACATCAACATGGGTGAGTGGAACGTCGTGCAGGCTGCTGTCTGGCACTTTTCAAAGAGGTGTTTACAGACTGAAGATTAAGGGGTTAGAATGGAAAATCATAGAATACTGGAACTAAGGGTAGATAACCAGGTCTGAATCTTTGACCTCAAGTGTCTCTGAGCTTTTAAAAAAAATAATTCCATTATAATCTTCTAAAAAGTCCTTAATTTTACCTAGTCATCCATCTGTACCTTCCTCAAATTCTTATGTCAACCCAAACTGTGAGAAAAGCAGTTAATGTTTAGATTTTAAAAATCTATTAGAATATAAGACCTGATGCTGTCATTTCCTTTAAAATACTCCTCTCTAAAAAAAAAAAAAAAAAAAAAAAACATGGCCAGGGAGATGGCTCAGTGGAATAAGTGCTTCCCTGGCAAGCATAAGGGCCTGAGTTTAATCCCCGGTTCCGCAAAAATAAATAAATAAATAAATAAATAAATAAATAAATAAATAAAATAAAAAATAAAATACTCCTCTTTGCCTTTAATATACTTATGCCATCACTCTTGCCACTTTCAGAAGCAGTTCTAAAAGTCTTCTTTTGTGAGTGTAGCTTCTTGGCTGCCTTGATACTCTCTATGCCATTCAGAACATTTAGGACAGTTCCTGTCAAAAACTTCATTGTTTGTCCCCATCCACCTTATTCACTGATCTGATACCATGTAACTTCACTGTATTCACTGTATTCACTGATCTGATACCATGTAACTTCTGAGTCTTTCTGCAATACAAAATGAACATGAAAGATAAATGTTTTGAATTGATTCAGGACCTTAGGACAGTGACAACAGTGTAACTAAGACACTCATGAAAGAGGACTTCTGGAACTACTTCAGAAAGTTGCAAGAACAATGGCCTAAGTGTGTTTAAAGTGAGAGTATTGGACTGGTGAGATAGCTCAGCAAACTAAGCCCCTGCTTAGGCAAGTGCAGGGACTGGGATTTGATCCCTGGTACCACATGCCCTGCCAGCTCTGCCCCCAGGCACACTGTGCCAGTCACCAAGTCCCAGCATGGTGGCGCAAGCCTGTAATCCCAGCATCGCAGAGGCTAAAACAGGAGGATCACTACAAGTCTGAGCTATGTAGTGAGACCCTGTACCAAATACATTTAAAAGAAAAAAAAAAAAAAAAAAAAAAAAAAAAAATTTGAAGAAGAATAAAGGCAATGTGTCTTTTGCTGTAATAAAGTTTCAAAAATTTAAGCATTTGCTGTCTGTTTTAATCACACCTCATCAGGTGTACTAAATGCATCATATAGTATCTGCTTCAAAGAACTGAGGTAGAGTAAGGGAGAAAGTCAGTAGTTAGAAAGCAATGAGCTGGGGGTAGAGCATCTCATAGAAAACACCACTGCTTTACCAGGAAAATGCATCCAATTCAGACTGCATGTATGTATACTTGCTAGTAGAGGTGACCCAAAACCAAAGCTTAAAAGATGAGTCAGTAAAGCAAAGGAGTTATTCCAGGTGTTAGAATTCATGAAGATTCAAAAGCAAAAATTGAGATACAAAGGGAGAAAAGCATGATTTTGTTGGGGAAGACTTATGTAGCTGGAGTGTAAAAGTGAACTAAAGGGCTGGAGAAGTAGATAGGGGCAATTGGAGCCTTTCTCAATGGTGATATTACTGGAAATTTGGGTTGGTGGGCTACTTTATTGGTCAGCTTGTTTGGGGTACTGCAGGATGTTTACCATCCCTGCACCATAGGCATAAAAATCTAGGAGCACTACCTAAGCACTGTGACTTCTAGAAATGCCCTGAACAGAAAACTGGTAGTACTCTCCCGGTATATAAACCACTGGAGATATTTGAAAGTTACATGGGGGAATTTGGAGCTCATTCTGTGAGTATGAAAGGTACCAGGGAAGGTCAGATTTGTATTTTCATGGGATCATAACTACCATCAGAAGGACAGATTTAAAGGGATAGAGGGATAGACAGCCAGTAAGTCTTCTGGCCTAGTATAGTGGAGGAGTCATGAAGACTTTGACTAGGACTGTGTGTAAGAGGATGGAGATGCATGTGCAGTTCAAGAAACTGCTTAGAGGATGAAGAGGGTAGGTCTTGATTATTGACTGCCTAATTGGGGCCAAGAATGTATCATTAGGATGACACTTAGAAAGTTTTGAGCAGACATTTTAAAAAGCCTTAGCTCTTCTAGGATTTGGGATGAGAAATGCTAAGTTGCTAGAGAAACTTGATTTTCATAATCTCCACCAGCTTACTCAGTGGTCATTAGGGATCATGTTTTAAAATGTCAGGAAAACAATATGACACCCTTAGAAAAAGGTCATTACTGTACGCCCCTACCTACAAACCTTTAGCTATTTCCCCTTGCTGCTTGTGTGATGTTCCAAAGTCCAGATGTCAGTGTGGCTCTACAGGATCAACTGGAATCCATTATCTTTTTCCCCTCACCTTAGGGTTGTAGGGGAAGAATCAAGAAGGTATAGGCGTTGAAGTTACATCATGTGTACCTGCCAGTCTTGAACTTCTAGTATCTGAGTATCCTTATGGTTGTGAGGGAGGGGAGGAAGACAAGAGTTGGGTAGCTTTACCAGCCATGCTTTTACCTGCTAGGATAGTCTTGATTTCTGACTGAAGCCTTGTGAATCCTATGATTTTAAATACCTGGAAGGACTGTGTGTGCTTGCTCTATTGATTTTGGCTCACTTCTTCAATTTAACAAGATCATCCTGAATGTTAATATGGTTGTCTGAAGCATTAGTAATGTCTTCCAGAAATACATTTTCTGTGGATTGATTAGTGATCCCAAGATCCTCAGGGCTATCAGTAGAAAATATGGAGCAGGATTGCCTTGGAATGATTTGTTGTGAGCTGCACACAATGGCCACTCTTGTTTTGACACCACACTATTACTGGGTGTTGGTATTCAATGTGCTTAACTGACTTTTTACCCACATTATACTCTTCTTATTCTGTCTAATCCATATGCATAGAAATCTTCTGGGAATGCTTTGTAGAACAATTTCTAATGCTCTAGGAAAATCAAATATGTACACTGCACTTCTGGGAAGCACATTTCTCCTCTGTTAAAGAGAGCACTTGCAGTTTGCTTTAGCTGTGGCCAAGGTACAGGATGTGAAATATCTGAGACTCATCTGCATGGAAAATGAGGCACTAGAAGAATTGAAGTTGTTTGCTTTTTTCTAATTTTGATTATAGTACCTAATGCAATTTCCTGAAAAAATTTTTTTCTTACACTTTTGAAAATCTAAATGCAGACCTGCTGTTGGCAAATGACTTAATAACTAATATGTTTATGTCACCAAAAAGGGGTACAAGACCTTCAGTCAGAAGGTAATGGCAGAATTCCTTGCAAATTTTCTATCAGTGAAGCATGCGGGGTGTGAGTCATCCTTCCTCAGCCATTATCACTGAATAGTTCCAGTTGCATGCAAAGTAGTTTCCAATCCTGGGTTTCTTTTGTCCTCTCATTCTATAAACAATAACCGTTTTTAAAATCACATCCTGGTGAGGCATGGGGGCTGAATTTTCTTCTCAGCGTTCTGGGGAGCTGAGGCAGGAGGATCTTAAGTTTGAGCCCAGACTGGGCAATTTAGTGAGAATGTTTACATAAAATAATTAATAAAAATTTTATAAAAATCTTAAAGTAATTTCAAAAAGGGATGGAGATAGCTCAGTATGAAGGCAGTATTCAATTTCCAGAATCCCATACTTCCTATTCATTTCACTTCCCAGAATCATTCAGTGGTTTCCTACATCCTTCTTAGCCTAAGGACAGGGCCCTCTCTGCACTCTGCCTGCCCGCTCCTCTCTCAATTCTATCTCCAGCTGTGGTCCACAGCACAGACTATGGACACCACCAGTACTGCACAGAAATGCAAGTGAATCTCGGGTTCACAGCAGACCTGAGTCAGAATCCGTGCATCCCCATCTGTGGGGGATTTGTGTGCATGTTGGTGTGTGCGGGAAGCTGCCGGATGGCGCATACTTGCTTAGCCATGTGCTCTGGCAGCACTGCACACTTGATGTGATTTCGTCATTTTAATTTTTATCTATGTGTCGTTTGTTTGTTCTTTCTTGGAGAGCCCTGAGAATTTTTGTGGTGCTGGCTTGCCGGTCATGAATTTCTTAAGGTGCTATTTGTCATGGAAATATCTTATTTCTCTCTCAATTTTGAAAGACGGTTTTGTAGGTATGTCAGTCTGGGTTGGAAGTTGTTTTCTTTTGGGGCCGGAAACGCTTCACTCCAGGCTCACTAGGCCTTTAAGGTCTGTGTCTAAAAGTCCACTGTAATTCTAATGGATTTACTTTTTAGAAGTGATTTGTTGTTTTTCTCTAAAAGCTTTTACAATTGTGTTAGACTTCTGGGATCTTGCATCGTGGGGAGGTTAATTTCTGGTTGTGGCTATTTAGGGTTCAACATGGCTCACTTATCTGTATTTTCTGTCTTTTACAACTTTCTAAGCATCTTGCTCTATCTTTGCATTTTCTTAGTTTTCTTTGAACATTTGACTGTCTTTTAGCTTTTGTGGCTGTGCTCCAAAACGTCTCCTGATGCCAATTCCCCCAGTTTTCCATTTCATGCCTGTCAGAAAGCTTATCAATTCTGCCTCTGCCCCACTTCAATACCTCTCACTTCCTGCTTCCCACACACGGCTTGTTCTTCAGGCCTGCTGCCCAGTAGTTGTTCTGGGACTTTTCTTCAGCACAGTGATTTCACCTGCCTCTACACAGTGGCTCAACCTAGGGAGCTGTAAAAGCTGCTGATGCCTCAGGGGTATGCCCAGAGTCACTGCTGTGTTGTGGCCTGGGCTTCAGAGTTATTTTTTTCATTGCTCTTCCAAATTTATTTATGAGTTCATATTTGCAGTGCATGTTGTATAGATTCCTGGTGGGGATCTGGGACTTGGTATATACGTGGTACATCTTCATTCCTGTTTTTCATCTGCTTCCCTCTCCTGCCTATTTTACTCCATCTCTTGA